CTCTACTGCCATTCAAATTCCTTATAAGCACTTTATAGGTTTTCTGTTTGGCTGAAAGGCCGAAGTTTCTGCCTACTTTTAATTCAAGAACAGTAATTGGAGGTTCCACGCAGACCTGCCCACAGGTGTGGCGACAATGATAACCCGGAAGTGTGCTGTCAACAGCAGCGGCAGAATTAACTCTGTCAGACACGATGGCTTGTAACAGCGGTTCTGGATGCTGTCCGAGCTTCTCCTACACGGTCCTTAAGTTCCTGCTGTTCTTCTACGCCTGCATCTTTTGGGTGAGTGTTGGTGGGTTTGTTAAATAATGAGGGGGGCTGTTGGTCAGACAGACAGCCCGGGCTGCTGCTGCTGCTGCTGGAGGAGGAGGAGGAGGAAGAGGGGGGTTATGTGTCGGTAAAAAACAAAACAAAACAAAACATCATCAAATATTAGGTCACTTGGTTTGTTTTGTTTTGTTTTCGCAGTTGTAGCGCGAAATGTTTGTTCGACAAGAGCGAATTAATCGACATGTTGTGTTCCTGTGAAGGTTGAAAATATTCCTCGCCTTATAGTTTCTTACCTGTGCCGTGGCCACGCCCTCTTTAGCGCACCTTACCCTACCGGTACAGAGGACCTTCACCAACTGTATTTGGCTGTTTTCACTGGAGTGGATTTTTAGTTTCGTTATAAATCATTGAAACAAAACAGCACAGATTAATAAAAAGGTTTGAGGGTGTGTGTGTGTGTGTGTGTGTGTTTGTGTTTGTGTTTGTGTTTGTGTGTGTGTGTGTGTGTTTTCAGGTTTTTGTTACCTTTGTAGGACAGTTTAGTATAAACACCTACTCTGTCAGGACCAGTAGTCCTTTTACTTAATGTTTTTTTTTTACTGGAGGCGAGGTTTACTCCTGAAACTTAAATTATCATTTWGAACTACCAATGAAAATGACGCATCATTTGTTAAGTAGAAAAAACATGTCGCTAATTTATGACACTTAAGACTATTGGAAAATTAATTAGACTTAACCAAACAAACAGAACTGTACAGAACTTCATGGAAATGTAGCAGGAACAAAGACATTCAAAAATAATGAGGTGAACTGTTTGTAGTTTCTTTCTCCAACCTGTGGAAGAAAGTGTGTGGAGGTTTAAAATAGAACCTTTTGATCGTTGAGGACATCATATGTTGCAAACCTAACACCTTATGGTCACAGTGAGGCACGGTGGCGKCAGTATCATGCTGTGGGGATGTTTTCTTTCAAACCGCTCCATTGGTTTGAGGAGAACCATGTCCTGAAATGGCTCAGTCAAAACCTAAACCTCGATCCTCTTATACGATGTAAAGAATCCTGTACAGATGTCCCCCTTTTTAGTTATAAATAAGTTTAGTTTCTTACAACAATGTTGTGGTAATTAAAAGACACAAACCCCACAACATTGTTTTTAAATATCAGGTTATTTTGCAGCAAACACTGAGACCCACAGAGTGTGGGTTAGCACATAARAAGATCATTATCAGCAAACAAAACAGATTTACAAGACTGCCTTCAGTTCCTCTGGTTCTGTTCCCAAATCAGTTCAGGTCTGCAGCTGAGTCACTTCTGTAATTTTAGCTGCTTGTTCCTCAAATTTTAATTGTCTGTCGTAATTCTGAGTATTTTTTATTATTTTTGTTTTGAGCAAATTGCTGTTTCAGAGTTTTCGTGCCGTGCTTGTCTGATTTTGGAGCTCTTTAGGGCTCAGACCGTCTGCTTCAGAGATCTTTGTTGAATTGTTGAGAAAAGCTTTATAATAAAGTTTGATTGATATGAAGTAGAGGTTGGCTTCAACCATCGGGAACTGGAACGTGGTTCAGGAATACACCAAAAACACAATTTTCGGAGCTTTTGCTGTGTGGATTGTTTATTCTCTTCTATTCTTCCTTTAATCAGACTGACTGGCGGTGGCTCCGTGGCTGAGACTTCTTTGCCTCAGTAGTTTATCGTTGCCTGACTAAGTGAAGAATGTGCTGATTATATTGTATGTGGAGTACAGAGAGATAAAGTGCTGTGTGAGTGAGAATGAGCAACATGTTAAGCTCTTTGTAGAATTTGGATGAGGTTAAAAAGAAGCTGTAAGTGTGGATTATTTAGTGTTCTTTAAAATCGTATTCTAGTGGCTCGGCCCTGCTTATAATTATCTTTGTGAAGTTTCTGCAACATGCTTTGGATCATTATTGTGCTGAAGAAATCCTCCTTTAGAAAATCAGCTCTCTCCTTMTTTTCAGTGACATCCTCAACTCCTAATATGAACTCTTAACATCTGGCAAATGCTTTAAAATCCCTGCTTGTCGACTCAATGGATTTAAAAATTAATTTGTTCCTACATCAATCAGACTGTTAAATAAAGTAGGCGTATAGTGTTTTGTCATGCTGCTATTGCTCTGGTTTGACTTATTGGTTGGTTTACGTGCTGGGATGTGTGTGGGAATGTGCAATATGTGTTTATTGAGAAATATGTGTTTTATCAATCAATTAGTTTTTTATTCAGCAATATGTGTTTTTAATTTTTTTGTGTTGTTCATATGTTCATATTACTTTTTATTGCTGTTTTTAGAAGCAGCTTTGTTTGGCGTACGATGTCCAAGACAGGTTTCCCCTTGGGGACAATAAAGTATACATCTATCTATTTCCAGGTCAGGTCCTTCCACTTGAGTTGTGTAGCCATTTTTCATTAGGCCCTGTTAGGTTCCATGTTATCACACTTTGATCTCTGCGCTGCATCGTTCCTGCACCATAACAGCTGCAAGTTGGTCTCTTTATTTGAGAGAAAATAAGCTCCCAGTTTGTTTGCAAAGTTTAATCTCACAATTTTCTGTCAATTTATTTATCATATAATACAGTACATAATAGTGAATTATCAAAACTTAATTTTCTTTGAGAAGCCTTGTTGAAAATCTTCAGCACTAGATGCTGCAAATGGTTCATTATCCACTTTAAAACGTCTCCAAATGGCTCATCTGAAAACTCATGCTACAGATGTTCTGCAAGATTCTTTTGTCATCTTCTAGTTTTATTTGCATCATTATGAAGAGTTTCTTGTAATACCAAGAAGACAGACAATATATCAGAAAAAAACTCAGATTATTTTTAAACTTTTTTTTACTTGAATAAAAGTCACAATTAGACTCAGTATTATTTCAGTTTTTACAGTTCTTATTTATTATTGCATTTATTTTGTTCCTCTAAATTCTGAACTTGTAGTTTTTATTCATAAAAGGAAATACTTATGAATTAAGTTCTTGACATTTACTGTACTATCTTTACCTCAAGGTGATTTTTATATTTATTCACTTCTGGCTGACTGTGTTRGTGTTTGTGATCAGTCTATTAAAACCTCTTATGATAAACTGAAACCCTGCAGAGTGCCACACTTGACTTCTTTAATAACTCCACCTTGAACATAAGAGTATTATTCATCTTCATTTGGCAGCAAAGTGTAAGCCGAAACATAAAGGTTAATAATATCTCTTACATGAAGTCTTTTGCATCAAGTTTCCCCACATTGAATTATGAACAAGACACTGAAACCATGAATTCTGAGTGTTTGCTAAAAGTTTGTTGCTACGTATCCGGCCCTGCAGCTGTCTCTTCTAGARACAATCTCAGGCTGGATACTTGCGAAGGCAGATGGTTGATTGACACTTGACTTAAAAATCACTTATTTGTTACATGGGCAAGATTTCAGAGGCTTGTGCACAAGAAAASAGAGGGGGGGGGGCACGGAGGTCTCAGTAATGGGTTCATTATAGAGAATGAATGCTGTGCTGATAGTTAGAGGAGAGGCAAATTAATGAGCTATTTTTACTTTGTTGCTGCAGTTTGTTGACTCACTCTGGTTAAAAGGATGTTTTCTGTTCAGGGTTCATTCTTGCTGCAATTCGCAGGAATTTTTTGCACCATAATGACACATAAGTACGACATGAGGAAGTTCAGTTCAGCTTAAATTATCTGAAAGAATCTTGGTAATAATTTTCCAGAACTTGTGCCGTTAATAGCAGCTCCTAAAATAATGATACACTATGTAATAGCAGCTGACTTGTTCTGTGATTTTTTTAATATAATTGAAAAGTTTGTGTTGCTCAAGCAAACCAATAAAATGTTTCCAATCCAGAACTTTTCATTCTTGTATTTAAATAAATTCTTCTAAACAATCAATAKTAATCAGTATTAATGGGTTTAAAGGTATTATATCCCTTTTTTAAATTCTTGTGAACACCTCTAGGACCTATTTTTGTCTTTACTGTCCTGCAGGACAGGATGTGCATGTGATGCATAGCAGCTGCTGAGGATGTAAACAAGTTAAGTACTGGGTCATTCCACTAAAGAAACAAAGGCCACAAGATGGTGTTTATTTCCTTCTTACTCTGGTCAAAGATTTAAAATCAGACAAGAACAATCAAATTGTACAAACGAACGTGTTGCTGCTGAGGATCAAACAGCACTTTCTGTCAGGCCCCTGATATCTTTAAAACCATTATATGGCCAAAACATGCCTTCCTGACTTCAGTGAAGTGAAAGTAAACAAGTAAAGTTTTATTTCTGTATTATTTCATGAGAAATATGACAAAATACTGTGCCACAAAAAAAACCCCACTTTAAATCTAATAAAAATGATATTTTGATAGAACTAACAATAGTATAAAAATGAGTCTTTAGCTGCTATAAAAAAGACTATAGATCTGAAGAGACTTTCAGAGTGTGTGGTGCTCCTTTAGTGTCCAGTCTGGTGTGTTTCATTATCWGCTGGCCCTGTTCCTGCCTCAGAAACCTGCTGGTTAGGGTTTCAAATGTCCAACGATAKACACCGGTGTTTGTCCTAGAAAAGCTCTGAAAGTCAAAATCAGAAACTAAAACTGATCAGAAGCCAGAACAATGAAAATAACAAAGTCTCCAAATACAATTAAAGTAGTCTGTTATTTTGTGACTGAAGCCACATTAAAAATGGCCAACTAAACAAAATCTAGRATCTTAAATGTGTGTTCATGATTCACTGTGGTGCTCATCTAAATGCAAACTTCTGCATGAAGAACAACGTGCTGACATTCCACAGGTGTTGTGTTTAACACGCTCCGTCTCAGGCCTCCATACATCCTGATACAAATACAGTGAGGTGGAATTCCTACAGGCTGAGACTTGGAGACATTATGTGACTGTGTGTAGTCATAAAGTATAACAAAAAGAAAAGTAGTGGGCTGTGTACACAAATATAAAACAAACTTTCCAAAGCTGGGTGCTTTTTTAAATGTCAGCATGTGATGCGA